GCATGCCCTCGTGTACAACCCACGCCGACCAATATATTGTGTATTTACGTTCAAGATAAGTAGGCACAAATCTTACGCTTTCTCCTAAACGTGGGCGATATGCCGACTCCGTGCTCTCATTCATAACCCAATCGTATTTAACTTAACTACCATTGGACGACAGCGCACGATAATAACAAAAATAACGCGATACCAAACGACGATGGGATCTTGATAAACATTGTTTACTCGCAGATAATTCCAGTTTCAAGGCGGTAGTTAGCATTCAACAGTGGGCTTCGATTCACGGATGCATAAGTAAATACTTTTATACCATTTGAATCATGTCGCATCACTTCAAGACGATTAACGTACACAAGTTTGCGTCGTGTTGACATTGAAAGTTACGCAAGTCAAACTCGTGTGCAACTTCAGTGTTTTAAGACTGCGTGAAGAGTAATGACAATACCGGTTGATATTTCGTCTGGCTGCCAACAAAAAGCCGGAATGCCGACTTTAAAGACGGCCCCTCTTACCTCTGTCGCTCGTACATATCCTGCGAGGGCTAAACACGACAACCATAGGTATATCCGAAAATGCATCACAGCAATGTGACCGGGCCCCGCCGCTCTTCCAGTTACACAGCACTAATAAATATCACAGCACAAAACAATTTGCTGTTATGTTATTGCACTGGCACAATACACACGGGCACAACAACGCGCGAAGCGACATGCAACGTCGATACGGGTTTGTAGTAAACTGAGTGGCGCTTGGCGCTCGCTTCACTACGTTGAAACCGCGCGCCCCTGCGAATGAATGTCGGATAACTTCGTTATTGTGAGTTATCGTCGCTAGACCGTGGTTATCGGATCCTCTGCAAAATTTTCAAATCTACGATTTCGTAGTTTGTATACCAACGATTTTTTTTATCTTTAATATCTACTACCTCTTATGTAAGGTACTCTCGTCTTCGCTTGATGCGTTTATATTGTAGCAAGCACAAAGAAAGTCTAAATATATCTCCACATGTACGGACAGAACAGAAATAACATTACTTTGCTAGGGCACCGACCGTCTTTATCATCCTTACTAATATTATAAACGCGAAAGTTTGTATGTATGAATGGATGTTTATTATTCTTTCACGCAAGTACTACTGAATGGATTTTAATGAAACTTTCTAATAATTTAGCTTATACATCAGAATAAGACATAGGCTATAATTTATATGCATATTTTATGTATATTGTATATCTGTCTTTCTGTTTGAATGTTACGCTTTCAGCCTATTCTACGCAGACGTAGTCGCGGGCAAGTTCAATTCCTAGTGTATCATACACTAGGAATTAGTATTGATAACAACTACCTACAATTATAATAGAAGAGCAATAGTAGAGCTATTCATAATACCCGTAGAATATTGTTATTACAACAAAAATAAAATATTAAAAGTACATCGGTATTAAGACGCGAATGTAAAATATTCTAAGTATGTACTAACTAATATGTAAGTATGCACTGTTTTCGCTTTTAATTAACATATATTTTATCCATGTTCTATAATGGACAATGAAGTAAGTATATAAAATATTAGGTGTATCATGAGTTAAAGATAGGTACGAGTTTAAAGCTCCGTTTAATCGTTAATGTTAATAATTAGTAACTAACTTCTTATTTAGTAGCAAAAATAAATCTTTAAAAACTAAAGAAAGCGCCATCTGCAACGATCAAAAATAATTACAACGAGAAAGAACGGCATAGTTTTAATAATTCTTGCTAGAGGACGCTGTGAGTAGATATATTCTATATACGTTTTAACTTTAACTAGCTTTATCTGGAAAAATCCCGTTAAATACGTACATAATACAATTTTACGTAGTTATTCCTCCCACATATTAAGTATTCTTTTGCTATGCTGGAACGGGTTATATATGTAGGTACATAAAAATCAATTATTAACCTAATATTTTTTTTAAGTTTTAAAGCACCTGTTGTCTTCTGGAAAACTCACGAAACTAAAAACCGGCCGCGCAAGTCGGAATCTCACGAAGGGTTCCGTACCATTATCTAGTATGTATATGTATACAACTCAAAGGACTGCATTAATTATTGTCAACTATGTATGTATGAAAATTAAAGGGTGTCCCTTTAATTTTCAAATCCATTTATTTTTTGGAATTTTTCCTTTATTGTTGCTGTAAGACCTGTTGACCTAGACTTGTCAATGGAAAGTAAGTTCAAAAACAAGCAGCACAAGTAAACGGAAAATTCCGAAAAATATAAATTCGAAAATTAAGGTAAATTTTGTTACTTACAAGTTTTCGCGAAAGTCTAACTTTGCCCACATATCTTTTTATCGTGTTGACTCAAGACCTTGATTATATACAGCATGGTATTATAACCACGACTTTAAATGAACACCCTTGCTACTTTGCTATTGTTACTTGACAATAATCATAAAAAATATAAACGTTAAAATATATCCATAATCACCATAAATTATTTTCAAAAAAAGTAATGAAATAAAAAAGAACAACTGGCTGATATATTCAGACTTTTTCACCCATCGCCACAACGTCGCATTACAAGCCACCTCTTTCTAGCAGTATGTTTTATCTCTTTTATATTCATTCAACCAATTAATATGCTTTGTGGTCTTTACAAATGAACTTTACGTTACAGTTTTATACATACGGGTGTACTAAAATTATTTGTTTTTAGTAAATTTAATAACTCGATAAATATTGATGTTTGATGAAAGTATAATTATGTTTGTTACAGTTTTATAAAGTTATCCTCTATACGTGTTTATTTAAGGTCGCGGCAGTAGCACCACGTTGTATATGATACACCTGATAGGGAATATAGACCTGAGTATAATATCTGGTATAAATTTTAACTTGCTAGGTCCACACTTTCCTGAGAAAATCGGTGGTTATACATGGATAAGACAGTGATCTTGTAAGGGTTTCTTTTTTACCTTTTGAGGTACCGAATCCTTATAAAACATAAAAATTATTTTAAAATTTAGGAAAAATTAATTCATCGAGGCATGAAATATGAATGCTACATATTTCCAATTATAACTACGAGATATTTCTGCGTTTGTTATAGTATACATAGTCAACAATTAAATAGATATAAAAATACTATTTTATTTATCATTTTTATGGATGGGATCATAATATTAAATGTAATTTGTATTTTTTATCTCTTCAGCTTCAGACATTTCGTAGTCATCATGAGGATGATTCGCTTTCTTCTCTCTTTGATGTATCTAAAGCCTATGTATATCTGTGTGTCTCTACCCTGCCTCTTCAATAATACCTAACACGTAAAAACTAACGTTTTTTTCATACCTGTTCAACCGTTATGGCACAAAATTTTACTTGATTTTTTTTCTTATCTAAACAAATAATACTGTATAAAAATGAATAACAATAAGTAACAAATGTAATTAATCAACAAATCAGGGAGAAGAAACAAAATTACATTACATTTCTAACGCTAATTAAAAGCAACTGTTGCGACAGTGCGAGGCAGCTAGCGTAAAGTGGTTTATTCTGGTTGTAGTCTTTGTGTTTAAATAAACATAAAACTTTACTAAAATAAACATAAAACTAATAGACACAAACTGATTTATCTATAGCCCAAGTGAACTATGAAATTATTTTGTAAGTCAAATACCTACTGTACTTTGTACTTGACTCTGTTCAATTTTTATGTTTTCATTTGAAATATTTTTTTTGTGCCGCGTAGTTTGGTGTGAGCCGACACGTATGTAAGTGACGACACGAAGACGCCGTCCGCTCCGCTGCACTCCGCAACACCCTACTAGTACTACCCAAAGGTGGACAATCGACTAACAGGGGAGTCACGACTGACACGATTTAACCTCTACCGTCAGCCAGATAGCCGTCCGGGAGAGTGAGAGACACATCTAAAAACTGGGCCTACCTAAAAATTATTTCTCGAAAACGTTGCTAGCTCTCAGACTATCACAACAAATGTTTCTAACGTTGTTTTTCATTTCTTAGTTGACATGTGTAATTTATTTCTTTTCTCGTTAATTTGACGAATCATCATGTAAGATAATATTACAAGCATGAGGCCTTGCTTTTTCGAGTTTCGGGGTACAATTCAGTGGTCCCCATAGATGAAACAGGCGCGTTTAATTCAATACTATTACTCGAGCAACCCAATTTCAAATCCCGGTGCTGCATCAATGAAATTGTTAATTTTAATTGGTGAAAGCAAACGACGTGAGGAAATCTGCATATTTTCGAAATGATAAAAAAATAATAATTCAAAGTTAGGTGAAGTCCACCAATCCAGTGGGGTCACATGGTGGACTATATCATAATACCGTCTACAAATAAGCCTTAGTCACATGGTGAAGGGAAAAGTGAGGTAGCCTATACACGCTGGTAGGGCCACGCAGCAGCCGCGGCTGTTTCACGATTGGGCAAGATCGTCCGGATAAGTACCACGATCTCACAGCAGAAGACCGGCGTAAAGTGGAAGTATAATACTTTCGTGTTTCGTCTGGTGAGTGAGGTGGCCGGACGCCTAATTTTCAAAAGGTTGTCAAGGCATCTGCAACCCTCGGGTGTAGCTGATGTCCATGGGCGGCGGTATTCACTTATCAGGTGAACCGTCTGCTCGCTTGGCAACTTTTCACATAAAAAAAAACACATCCCCAACGACAGGGCAAAAGCCTCCTATTTAGGTCAAACACTAAATTTTGTTAATGGCAACTATATTCAATGGAGGCTAATTATTACATTAGCTATATTTATTGTTTTATTATCCATCAACCCATATACACATTTAAATACATGTGGAATAAAACAGAAAATAATTTTTTTTTTAACTATATTTGATGTTCAGGTATTGAACAATAGCATAGAGAAGTAAAGTAAATAAAAGCGATCAAATGAAACTCTTATGGTTTTAACTACAATATAAAGATTTATCTTAAAAAGCGAATATTATTGGCTCTGTGACACCATAATTTAGTTTTCTTCCAGTTTATCTTTCTGTTCTAGATGACGACGAATGGCATCTTCGTGGCGCTTGATCTGGTCTTTGTGGAAGGCAACTTCTTGGTCTATCATACCCTTCATGCTCGCAATTTGCTCCTTTTGCTAAAGAAAATTAAAACCATTGTAGATTAGATTATAAAAAAAATTAAAAGATTAGGTTATAAAAAAAATGGAACCTTAGTATATATTTCTTAAATAATTATTTCATATGATGAATGATTGACATTTAGTGTGTCATTTTGAAGTATAAAAAATTCAATTATATGTCATTTTATTAATACTGATGCAACAAATATTTGTTTTTACCTAAGGCATTGCTACATTTAGAAAAAAGTCCGATGAAATGGGAGCATTCTCACAACATTAAAAAACTAAGGAAGCATGCATCCAATCATAATAGTTGAAGTTTCAGTAAAAATATTTGATTGCTCTTGATGCTTGAAGCTGTTAATAATTTCATACATAACATTTAACACTATTTTTTTTAAAACATTGCCCTTACTGTGGGATAACATTATCCTGTGTTGTCAGGACATTTACATACATAAATTTTACATGATCCAGATCCGAAACAATTATCTGTGGATCACACAAATAGTTGTACCCTGTGGGAATCGAACCCAAGACCTCGGCGCCGAAACCAATTCCCTGGCCGCTGCGCCTAAAATTAATTCGTCCATTTAAAGCAAATTTAGCACTTCCTTCTTTTTAAAGTTTATCCAAGATATTGTTTATTTTAATAAAACAAATCACATGGATAACCAGTTTTGGTTTAATACACGCAAATTAAGTACCACAGAATGACAACTATTAATTGTTTGACAAAGGATGTTTGATGTAGTATTGAACGAATTTATGAATGATTTGGTAAGTCAGTCCCTTAACCTCTAAGTTCTTACTTGGAGCTTTGATTTCATTTGTAAAATTCACAAAAGATACTTGTGACTTGCCAATTATTGTTACTTAGGAAGTAACTAATCATTGTGATAGAAGCATACAAAAATATGTCTTCAAGAGAAGAAATAAAGTTTGGAAAAATACTTTTTTATTCTTTCAAATACCTTATTTTTCTCAAAAACTGTTGACAACCTACCCATGGGGCCCAGTTACCTCACTCACATAACTAAACATAATGTATAAATATAAATGTATTTAATTCTTTTACTTCACACAGGTGAGGTTGTGGTACATCCCCATGCGAGTCTGCCTATTTATGCAACAGAACTGTTGCATGACACATCCTTAAATTAGTATTTGTTGCATCATTAGTTTTTAATCTGTATGAGAATGTATACAATGTGGCACTACTAACGCGACATCAAATCAGCACACATATCGAGAATAACTTTTTGAAAGGGTATTAGACATTTACTTTCTTTAAACATCAATATTTACCGAGTTATTAAATTTTTTAGAACAACCTTACATATAAATAGTAATGTAAAGTTCATTTGTAAAGGTCACAAAGCATATAAATTGTTTGAATGAATATAAAAAAGATAAAACATACTGTTAGAAGGAGAGACTTGTAATATGATGTTGTGGCAACAAATGAAAGTCTCTGAACATATGAATCAGTCAGATGTAGTTGTATAGGGGATGTCACAAATTTTGTTTCAATTAGTTTGTTTGAGAATTATTTTCTTTTAATTATGGATTTTTTCAACATTTATATTTTTTTATGATTATTGGAAAGTAGTGTTAGAAGTGTGTTCATTTATTGTCCCGGTTGTAATGCCATGCTGTATAATAATAATGTATGCATTGATGTATTAATTATAGGGTCTAGATGTTCAAAACCTTCTTATAAAAGTATTCATCCTCCCTAGCTGCTTGCATTTTTCCAAATGAGCCACCAGCATCACGAATTGCACCACCAGTTCCACCACCTTTACCAGCTCCAGAACCAGGCTCACCAGAATACATTCTGTAATACAAAACACATTTATGTATTTGTCTTTTATTTTTGACAAATTATTGTCATCCATAATCCATAACAGTCAACATTTATGATAGTATTATTATTTGTTATAATATTATAAAGATCTGAATCTGATGAAATAAATTTTTTAGTAAATCTAAAAATTCAGACATCAAATTGTAAAAAAACTTTTTTCTTTAACCTTTGCAAATTACCAAAAAGTTTCACTTAAGTACCTACTGCTTTTAAATAAATTGCAAAAAGCATATAATAGAATATGACCAAGCAATAAAAGTTAAGGCATATGTTTAGCAAATTTTGAAGTTGATATTGTAATTAAAAACAAATTTAAACGATAGAGAAAAATCACAAATAAATTAATCAACAAGCAATTCTCTGGTCGCTTATAGTTTTTGAGAAATATTTAATACATAATTTTCATTGAGAAAGTCCACCATTTTATTACTTGGATATCAAAAACTGTATTCACAATACTGCCAACATGTTATATATAGAAAGCAGGCGATGTCATACTCATATCCTTTTTTTAATTCAATGAGTCACAGATGTGACACAGAGCAATCCAACTTGGACAGGTTAGGTTAGAATGTTCCGGAAGGAAGCGGTAGCAGAAGTCCCTCCTTAGCCTTCAAGGTTACTTTTTTTTAGCCATCCGGAAATATGAAGAGCTGGCCATAGTTAATGAAGCATTAATAAATTTAACATATTGACAACAACAAAATGGCGGATTTCTTTTGTGAAAATAAGATTTAATTTTTTTTCTTATAAGCGACCAGAGAATTCTCCTTGTTGATTAATTCATTTGTAATTTTTCTCTATATTATTTAATTTTTTTAATTGGAATTTCAATTTCTAAAATTGCTAAACATTCACCTTTAAAATGATTAATACTAAATATGTAAAAATATTTTCTTATGTTAATATTTTATGCTTGGTGCAATAGTGATCACTGCTCTATATTTATTTATAGTATCCGTATATAACTTTTGTTAATTTATACATTTGAATATTTAGCTTTAGTTATTAATAGCACATTGTTTATGACATTTTTTTTCAACATTATCCCTTTACGTTTTTAAGTTCAACGTTACATATTAATGATTGAATAACAGTACATATGCTGCAGTAATACATGAAAAAATTAGTAAATTAAAAATTAAATTAAGTAACACAGTACAAAAATAGTTATAAAAACAAAAGAAAAAGGTGAAAATACTACGTCTCCGATTGCGTAACCTCGAGACACCGGTAGGCTTTTATAGTAAAAATACCTTAAAGTAGTAATTGCAGGCCTAAGCGATGTTCTTGTTCTTGACAAAAAACTCATTGTTATATAAAAATAAGCTTTTCTAAATTATTATCTTGTAGATTCGACAAAATTAAAAAATTAAGACAAGAACTGACATTCGTCACCATAGAGATATTTTTCTTTCTTTTAATTATCTATGCAAGACAAAAGGCTACGAGTTTTTTGGGCTTCAACTTTTATGATTTGAATGAAACTGGGAAACTAAAAAATTATAACTCTACTATAAAAGCAAATAATGAAAGAAGTTTGAAAAAAATCTTCACATACATACATTTGATAAAACCAATTTTTTTTATCACAAAAATTTATGTTGGTTTTTATTACATTAATTTTCTCCCACCCACAAAAGTTTAAACATTCGCGACATAATTTTGCTTATACAGCGTGTCGTTATCACCGCGACAATAAATGAACACACATATAGAGGATAAATTTTTAAAATTGTATTAAACATTTACATTCTTCAACCATCAATATTTACAGAGTTATTAAATTTTCCAAAACAAACAATTTAAGAACAGCCTTACGTATAAAACTGTAATGTAAAGTTCATTTGTAAAGGTCACAAAGAATATCAATGGGTTGAATGAATTTAAAAGAGACAAAACATACTGTTAGAAGGAGAGGCTTGTAATGCGACGCTGTGGCGTGAGTTGTAAAGGTGTTACAAATTTTGTTTCTTTTTTACTTAATTAGTTTGAAAAATATTTTTTTTTAATTGTGGATTTTGTTTAACGTTAATATTTTTTTTATGATTATTGGCAAGTAGCGATACGTGTGTTCATTTATTGTCGCGATGGTAACGACACGCTCTATGTTTTTGTTTCACTTTGATTGGAAAAATTATTTCTATTAAGGCATCTGATAGAATAAACCAATTTACTTGATTCAATTTCCGTTAAATTTTAGATAGACGGACATATTTGTAAAATTTGTACAAAATAAAGTATAATGTTAAGTCCTTTGACTTTTCCAAAGAATAAGAAGAAAATAAATAGAATAAAAAAGAAAACTATTAGACCAATGTCACCAATGACAATTTAACCATTTCTGTTTGACATATCATATTTGATAACAGCCTATTTGTAGGACTCATCAGCATTTGCTAAATGATAATTATTTGCAATGCATGCTGTAACATTATTATGATAACACACAATTTAGTAACACATCAATATCATAAGTATAATAATAACATTGTTAATTAATAACATTATATTAATAACATTGTTAGTTTTTAAATAAATATCACTACTTACCCTGTTTCAATTTTTTTTACCCATAGTATATGTTTAAGTTTCTGCTCTGCAATTATTTTATTCAATTCAGCAGCCTCTCTCATTGCCCTGACAACTTGCCGCTCCTCTTTTAAAGTTTCTAATTTGAGTTGCTTCTCAGTTGTGGAATATCTAATAATATTTACAATAGTTTATATCATAAAATATTAACATTTAATAATAATAATTTACTGTAATAAACAATTATTCAGGGTACATTATTATTATATTAAAAAACATATACAAAGAATATAAGAATTAATTTCGAAATTCACTTCTTTCATTTACATGTAACTAGGTATGTCCCTTACTTATAAGATAAAGGAAATATAATATAAGATACTCCACATACTTGAAAAAGTTTTGTAGCTCTGAGTGCAACGGGTTAATATTAAATCTATCCATAAGAGACATGTCTGTCATTGCATCAACACTTTTATTTGTGGTAGAAATATTTTCCATATTTATCTCAGGACTTTCTGGCTCAACCACTTCAGACATTTGTTCAGATGTAGATGATGAAGATGATTCAAATGTAGAGTTGGTTGTTTTATCTTGTTGACTCTGATCAAAGGGGAACATGCCTTCTTCATTACCACTAGGCTGCAGCATATCTCTGAAATTTATTACATATCTCAGTAAAAATTGCATCATAATTACATCAAGGGTAATAAAATGTAATTGTATTCTTCTTTGAATTAAAACATAAATATTATTTAAAGCTAAAAATGTTTTTAATTTTTATAACTTAATTCATTAAAAAAAGTGATACTTACTCGTCTAGACATTCTGCTTTAATTTCGACATTTGTATTAAGTTCTGTTTCGTTGGATTCATCATCTTTTCTTAAAATTCCATCTTTAACCAGTTCTAGTATATTGCACACCTCTAAAGATTGCCGCGTATACTTTTGAATATCTGAACCGCTAAGCGACATTTCTTCTCGAGCTATGCGTTTCATGTTTTGCCACTGCGTTTTTACTTTTTTAATTGAACTATCCGAAAACTTGTTACCAAATTTTTTTGTTAGCTCTTTTAAAATCTCGTTCCAAGCAACGTCCTTTTCTTCGGAATGGTTAGGCCCGTTGTTGCTTTTAGTTACAATTACTTCTTTACGTTCCTTAATTAACTCCAGCAGAAATTGTTTTTCATCAAGTGACCAATTGGGTGTTCGGCACCGACGACTCGTTATTTTCCTCATCTTGACCGGTACTTCACTTGGAATGTGGTTAATCTTTTGCAACGATTTGTTGCAAACGATGCACTCGACGTCCAAAATCATCGGTTTCCACATTTAGAAACAAATGAAGTACTAAAAACGAGCGATGATATTTGACTTGACAAGTCCTAGCTAACTGCATGAGTGCTATTTAAAAACTATTTTTGAATGAAGTTTTCATTAAAAAATGTTTCATCAAACACTAATAATAATTTATAAGTTGTTTTCAATGAGGCAACGATAGATCGATGTGATAACCTCGGCGCACTAAACAATTTTATTTCGTTATATTTTTAAAATGGCGCGAAAGTTTTTTTTAAATAACTTGATTAATTATTGGTGCCTTTCGCAATATTTTATTAATAAATTTCTTTTTTATTACAATTAGACAGTGTTTATTCGTAAATTTACGAAATATTGAGTGCACATTAATTTGTACATATAATTAGGGGTATTTTATAGCTAATAATAATAATTATTCTGCATAATATAATTTATATAGACTTTACAGTACATTGGTTTTAAATTTACCAATAGGTTTGTGATGAATGCTACTGAACCTTTGTTGTCAGTTACTTGTTAATTCATTAAAAAAGGGGTAAGTTCTCTCAATGCATCCAAATATTTGTTTTATTTATGTTCAACGATAATTCTTTTTCAGTTTTTCTGACTACAAAGATTTGTTTTAAATTTTAAGCCATTGGCCAAGAAGACAATGAAATTCCATGAATAAATCGAAATCAGTGGTCAACTGGAGTTTTTGTTACCATTTTATTTTAAAAATAACATTTTCTGAAAATTGTCCTATATTATTACCCTATAATAAACCAAAATTTATTACAAGTTGTTATGACATTAACAAGTCTAGTTATGAGTTAGAGCGGAACACTGAGTTAAGGGACGTTTACCGCAACTCAGTGTTGGTAATTCGTTTCCTTACCTTTGCTTGCGCTCCATTCAATTTATATCTCTATAGTAATTAACAATATTCTAGACCTACATCTTTCGAAATAATACCTATATTGAGCATAGAAAACATCTAAGCTCGAACGTCATAGTCACGAACTGAAAATCTTTAGATTGGGGATATCTGATATATCTCTAGATACTTGTCAATAAATATATTTTTTTTTTATGTGAAAAATTTCCAAGCAACCAGACGGTTCACCTCATGTTAAGTAAATGCCGCCTCCCATGGACATCTGCTACACCCGAGGGTTCCAGATGCGTTGAGAACCTTTTGAAAATTGGGTGCCCGCTACGTCACTCTCCAGACGAAACGCGAAAGTATTATACTTCCACTTTACGCCGGGCTTCTGTAAGGTCGTGGTACTTACCCGGACGAGATTGCCCATTCGTGCTACAGCCGAGGCTGCTGCGTAGATCAAAGGATTCGGGATTCCTTCTTTAAACCTTTGGTTTAAAGTGTTGTCAGTAATATATTATAATAGCAACGGTGATATTGTTTGCTTCATTTATCATCATGGTGAATTATTTTATAAAATAGAAATGTTAATATACTTAAATAAAAAAAAGCAAGGACGCAGCAATAAACCAAACTACGTAACTTCTATTCTATAATGCATTAGTACATCTACATCCTACTAACATCGTAGTTCTCAAGTGTTACAAAAGATGTCAGCACTGTTATATAAATAAAAAGCTAAATGAAGTTATGCGTATCTACACAAATATTAAATGTAAACTTTATTGTATTATACTTTAAAACCATACACCGCTAATATTTATAAATGTTTATTATTAAATTAAGGGTTCTTCACACAAAGTGCGTTACTTTGTTATTTTTTTCACGACATACAATTTTATGTTCAATCGTATTCATCGATTTGCTGCCAATGTCCTAAGTCTGATCATATTCTAAAGTATGGCTGCTTGTTTGAAAATAATGTTGAAGAAGATTGTAATATATATATACAATGTTGTTAGTCAGGAAAACAGTGGTAACTGGTAAAAGTGGTAATTCACTATTACTAGGGATGTAGAGTGAAAGCGTATGATTGTAGCTTTTATTTACTATAGACTCGTACATATACTAAAGATAAATATGTAACACTATTTACAGTATACACTATAGACAAGTATATTATAATCAAAAGATTGTAAGTACCTATGCATAATTTTTATGTAAAAATTGAAGTACCTATTAAATTATTATCTGTATAAAAATTCACCCATTATATCTTTTTTGAAATTTTTATTATTTTATAACTTTAATTTAAAAAATTATAAAGAATTATTCCTACAAAAAATTAGAAGTCAGTCGATACAAACTTCCGACTGATTTCGGGTACTGACTGATTATAAGTGCATTATTTTTTCAGCTAAATGGAATTCATATTAATTTGAAATCGATAAAAAGAGTCTTAATTAAACATAATCTTATTTTTTAATTCAATAGATCAGAGCCCATTACCCCATTTAAGTAGGCAGAAATCCAGTAATTCAGTCGGACGCCGAGGCTCGTTACTGACGCGCGTCAGACAGACAAGCTTTGTAGCGTTGATATAAATCGTAATAGTTCTCAGTAGTATGTTAAATTGTTAAAATAAAATACCATAAATAATCATCTATTAAGGACGAACTGTGATAAATTAATTAAGTGATACTAAGTACTTTTATAGCAATCTGTGGGAAAATATCCGTGTTATCATTAAGAATTAAAAAGAAAATTGATCGCTTCCCTTTGAAGTAACTATTTAATTTTGATCATGTAAGTATGTGAAATAGCTTTATTTAATATATTTTACGATTTGTCTTATTTAACAGGTTACATATTAAATTAAATGTGACTGGTTAAAGTGGCAACTCGATTTTCATTTGAAATACTTAAGTATTTACAATATGTAACATTACATTATATTTTTTTCTGTCTATTAGTAATTTTACTAACATTTATATTTGAATAATAAAGCGGAAGGAAAGGACATGTTTTGCCGACCCCACCTAGTGTGGGGTTAGGGCAGGAGAAAGAAGAACAATATTCACCGAAATGATTAAGATTTGTTCGATTTTCTTATAACTCACTATTTTAAATATCATATTAAAAAATAAATTGCCGAACTTTACTTTTAATTAAAAAAAACTATTCATTGTAGATAAAATATTTTTTAAGCAAGATATTCAAACATGTCTAAATAAATCTAAAAAAAAAGTATACCAATCGAATTGATAACCTCCTCCTCCTTTTGAAGTCGGTTAAGTAAAAGTCGTAGCAATGGCCGAAACTAACCTTATACTCATATTAAGTTATTTCACCAGAATTACACAGTATAATTATTGTATTTGTAATATGTAATATTGTATTTTCTCATGTTTGACTGAGTGAAAAGCACTTAAGAAGGTCTTAAAATTGTGTAATTTGTATTCTGTACCGATATAAAGTTGCATTATGGTTGGATTTGATTGAAGATTTTGAAATATTGAAGCACTTTTAATATATAAGGAAAATTTAGAAATATTAAAGGTGTTGTCAATGAATACATAATATTTCTTCATAAACATGAAGGTACATATTTTCTACAATTGTTGTTAATACAATGTTATTCTTGACAATTTTAACGAATTTTCGTACAAGGACGGTATACGTACTTGAACATTATATTAATAATAGTAATGACGGGCTGTGTTAATAAAAATTTCGAGGCAATTACCTAATGACATCATAATTGCCACCGGGTGTTGATAGAATTGGTTTTATTAACGTGAGAAGTTGGTAAGCGAGGTGGTGGTTTACCTGATGTTAAGTGGTACCTGACGCCCATGGACATTTGCAACACCCAAAGGATTGCAGATGCGTTGCCTTTTAATAAAGTGGGCCCCGGCTACTTCACTCACCAGACGAAACGCAGAAGTATGACACTTCTACTTGTCGCGGGTCTTCTGTGAGGTCGTGGTACTTACCCGGACGGACCTGGAGGCTTTAAGGAAATTTGGAACTCTTTATATATATATATATTAATTATGTTAATAAAACAACAGGCCACTGTTAGACATCAGCTTCCTTAAAAGCACGCCAATTAGACTAAAAATCGGCTTTCCACATCCAGTTCATGCTGAATACCATCCGTACTTGCACGATAATGTTCAAATAAGAAAGTTTTTTTAGTGCCGGACTTTGGTAAATTCATACAAAGTAACAATTGTGGATGTACGAAAGATATTATTCGACTTTAATCGCTAATTGTTGCTCGCTGTGCCACTCGATTCGCTCGCGTCAATATCTATACACGCAAAGTAAAACAGTTGTAATTGGATTTCATGTTAGGTACTTTTTGACAAACTTCGTCTCTGGGCTCTGATTGCATTGGCGGGCAATTTCAGTTTCGACCTTGTTTACTTTTCAAATTTCAAAATAATAACATAAGCTTGTCAGCTGGTAGCAGTCATTAAAACGTGGGGTTCTTAATAGGACGTTTGTCCGCTATAGTAATTTCTTTTTCACCTCATATAACTAGCAATAACATATATTATAATTGGAATAAAAATAAAAAGTGGATATTTTTACCGTCTCCTATAACTTTCCAATAATATTCGGAAGTGAAGGCCTCTTTATAGTAATCATCAACTGTATTCTGCAAACACTTCGCAGTGCGTTCTGTTTCTAATTGTGTTTGGAACTATGAATATGTTGAATTTTAAAAAGTAATCGTACCTTATATTATTTTCGCAACCAACAGCAGTTACTCAACAGTTTGCAGGCTGCATCGCCACTTACCATCAGGTGGGATGTCAGTCAAGTGCTGGCCAGTTCATAATAAAAAATAAAAAGTTTGAATCCACAGATTTGAATAATGTTCAAAGTAACTAAACTGCTTAATGATTATTTATTACTTCTAACTATTTACTTCAACACACGCCAGCAAAGCATCCGCAGTTATTATTCCGCCCATCCAAATTATATTGCATTTAAATTTGTTAAATCTGTCCCAAAGTTTCGAGGAATAAAGATAATCTTATATACTACTGCTTACATACTACTCTTTCCTACGAATTTAAATGTTGTGCATCATTAGATGAGATTGCAACAATGGACCGAAATGTTAACTTTGCATAAA